ACACGCACGCACGCACGCGCACACACACACACACACACACACACACACACACACACACACACACACTAATTCTGATTAAAACTATTAATAAATGAAAATTTTGGACATGTTGGTACAATTCTGTTGATGAAAATTTTCTTTTTAAGCTGTAAAGTAAAGTAAAATAAAATAAATTAAAAGTTCACCAACACGGAAACTTTTGGCTTATTGGACATTCTTATTCATAAGCAGCAAAGATCAAGCTGCATGTATTATTCCATGGATGTTTCCATTTCCTGCTGTGTCTGTATGCAAAAAAGAGACAAAAAAAGGTGTTGTCTTCATTGAACTGAAATAATTTATTCACGTAATGTGCAAATACATAAACATTTCCTTCATAATTGATAACTCCGCACCTCAGCATTTACATAACAGTCAAATAAACACATCAGTGTAACCTTCACATCCATCTGTACCATTGAAACAACATTACATAATACATGAATGCCCTTGCTGGATTTGTTCATCAATATTCTGCTAATGTTATATAGTGGCTGCAAAAAGTATTTGAACACTTTAAAATGTATGTCTTGTCACTGCAATACACAGCAAAATATAGTATCAAAGCAAGCTGCTGACAAATGCTAAATATAATGCGATATGTAATGTGATGAACTAGACCTGTGTATTTTTTGAGAACTGACTTCATAAATCCATAAAAACCAAAACACCAGCTGATTTAAAGACACTAAGCAAAAATAAATAATAAAATTAAATTAAAATAAACCCCTGCCCCTCCCAACATAGGACAATATTGTTTTACAATACATAAACAAATACAATACATAATATAAAAATAAAATAAAATGCCTCAGTAAATGCAGTTTGTTTTAAGAAAAGCTCTAGCAGCCTTTGCTTGATATTTTGTTATCCAATGCAATGACATTCAGGCAGTTTTAAGTGTGATTTAAGTGTACAAATACTTTTTTGGGGTCATTGTATATTATGCAGAAATTAAAGACATAAAACAAAACAAAAACTCTTTGGTTGGTATATTAGTTATATTAGTATATTCACGTCATTACACGTGAAATCAACATTGCCATGTTGGCAAGACAGTATTTTCAGAAAAAGCCACAATATTCTTTTATTCTAAAACTATAGCCTAATATTAAAGAAAAAAATAAAATAAATTTTAAAAACAACAACCACAAAACACATTGCATCACTGATTTTCATTGACTTCACATTCTCCATTGTCTGATCATGTTTCTGGGAAAATATTGAGATCTGCTGTTTTTGTATTGAATATTCTAAAAGACCAGATCATTATAAGCATCCTCTCCCTCTCCTCAGGATCTCTCCGTGTGTGAGATACAAGACCAGTCTGTTTACATAAATGTTTGAATGTGTTTATGAGTGTGTCTGTAAACTCTAGCAGCTTCTATGTGAAAAATGATTCAGCTTCCCATGTTGCCAAACCCTGAGCCTGTGTGAATGTGTGCACAGGAAGAGTGAGAGACCGAGATTTCATATCCGTCTATGTACTTTCTGCATGAATGATTCTGGCAGTGAATCATTTTGACCCATTGATTGCTTAATGAAAAGTGCAAATAAAAGGTTTTTTTTTTCCAACAGGAGTGTAAAAAGTACAGGGACATTTTACTCAAGGTAGAGTACGGGTATGTTTTTTTTTTCCCCTCTAAATTTTACTCAGTTGTAATTGAAAGTATACAGCTGAAAATATATTTGTGGGAATGTATATATAAAAAAAAGAGTCCACATTTAATTGTAGTTAAGCATAAGTAAAAAAAAAAAAAAAAAATCTTCAGAAATAAATGAGGAAACAATATTGTCCCATTAAATTAACATTAATACTTGATGCAAAGTCAAGTTTGTACATCTTATCTTGGTCTTCAAGTTTATCTTGTTAATAATAAGATAAATATAATTTTTAAAATGTTTTAAACTATGATAACATGCATTTTTTTGTTTGTATTTTGAAGCTCTAAATTAAATTGTAGAGACTATTAAGTATGCTTTTTGAGTAAGAGTAGGAGTATTCAGTTTCAGTAGTAGTCAAATTGAAGTCTAAACTTTGTAAAATAATACTTTAGCATATAATTAAGTACAATTACTCCAGTACTTTACACTCCTGGCTTCCAAAAACATATTCAAGCATATTCAGTAACCAAGCAGATCTGGAGTGGCATTTTATTGCCTATATTTGTTTACACAGTAACACACACAGAGAAAAAGCAAAAAAAAAAAAATCTTGTCTCTGATCATTTTTAACCTTGAATTAAGCCGTATTTGGAAAATGCCATACTGTAAATCATTCCTGCAGGTAGGGAGTTTTATAGCTACTCAGTCTCTTTGCTTTAGGTAAGTTAATTACGTTTTTACACCCTTTAATGGTTCGTGTAGTCAGGCGATCATACACTACATGGTCAAAAATATGTGGATAATGTTGGAACATTTAGACACAAGGAGACTGCATTGATACATACTTGATTTTATGCTCCTGTTAGTAACAAGGCGTGGCTGAAATAGCCAACCTGTTAAAGGAATAGTTCAACTATAGATGAAAATTTGCTGAAAATGTACTCATTCTCAGGGCATCCAAGATGTAGATGAGTTTGTTTCTCCATCAGAACAGATGCGGAGAAATTTAGCATTACATCACTTGCTCACCAGTGGATCCTCTGCAGTGAATGGGTGCCGTCAGAATGAGAGTCCAAACAGCTGATAAAAACATCACAGTAATCCACGTTTGAACTTTTCTGCCCAAAATTGAGTCCATTATCCATAATATTAAGTATGATTTTTGAAAATGTTCAGTGAAAAAGTTCATGCCCCGTTGTCCTCTCACATCAAAATCAAATTATTTAGAACTTTTTATGCTTGTAAACAGTACTTGATCTATGAATATTTCTCTCCTGATTCAGATGAGACAACTTTTTCCCACTGAAGAAAGCAATAATATGGAAAGAGGACTCATATTTTGGCTTAAAGCAATGGTTTGAAGTTAAAAATATCTTAATGGATTTGTTTATAACAAACACGTAGATTACTTGTGGATTATTGTGATGTTTCTATCAGCTGTTTGGACTCTCATTCTGACGGCACCCATTCACTGCAGAGGATCCATTGGTGAGCAAGAGATGTAATGCTACATTTCTCCAATTCTGTTCAGATGAATAAACAAACTCATCTACATCTTGGATGGCCTGAAGATGAGTACATTTTCAGCAAATTTTCATTTTTGACCTATTCATTTAATAAGAATAGGGTGTCTACATATTGTAGTGTGCATTCTCATTTCCAGGAGTTCCAGTTATTAAATATGTTTGTTTTAACTCATTAGTTTGATTTTCCAGGCGGTCCAGATAGACGTCAGAAGCGAGCAACTTCAGTGAGGCTGGGCATTGCTCCCTGATCTAGATGCAGCTGGTGCAGTCCTGTGTTAAAACTGGCACACAGGAGACTGCTGGAGTCACACGGAGCCAGAGACACCAAAGGCCCTGAACCGTCCAGCGTTAACGTGTACAAACACGCTGAAGAAAGAATATAGAGGAGACAAGAATCAAGCCATGTAGATTTTAAGCTGATGTGACTTTTTTCCTTGATTATACCAGCCTGACATGTTTAGCAAAAGCTGTTTGCTTCAGAAAGCATGACACACATGAAATATAATGTGAAAGGGTGTTAACCGTTGCCTTTGACATTGTTATTTAAAGGAGAAGTGTGTCATTTTTTTATATTTCGGAACCATTTACATTTAAACTCCACATATCATCAAAAACCTGGCTAAAATGTATTTATTTTCACAGTAAATCACAGCTCTTAAATAATGGTTATCTAAATGTGTTGGATTTTAAAGACCCTTTAAATACTACTCACAGAAAAAAAAACACTGTTTGGGAAACTTATGTAATCTTTATGCATGTTTAAATTAAATCAATGATTTATATATTTTTAAAAATATATATATATTTCTAATGATAATTTAGAAATTAAAAGAAGGTCTAGGGTCAGTCAGATATTATGCTTTTAAAATAAGTTACTAACACTCACCGAGGCTGTATTTATTTAATCAAAAACACAGCAGTAACAGAAATATTGTATAATATTATTACTATTTAAAATAAGCTGTTTTCTGTTTTAATATATTTTAAAATATAATTAATTCCTGTAATACAAAGCACTTTTTTTCAGTATCAATACTCCAGTCTTCAGTGTCACATGATCCTTCACAAATCCTTCTAATATGCTGATTTGAATATTACTGACCTAAAACTTTTAAATGGTAGTGTATGTATTATTTAATTTAAATTTATTAGTAATACTAAGTTAATAACTACGTGGCATATATTTAAATATTTCGATTCAATTAAAAATATGTCAGCCAGAGGAGATTGGCTTCCCCAGCCAAGTCTCTCAAAATTTCTTTTTCACTTACCTAAACATTTAAGAGAGTTTTCTGACTTGCCTTCTATGAACAGGAAACTGGCCTGTTAACAAATGAGCCCCCTGGCCAATTCACTTGTGTATGTTTAAAAACATATTACAAGTATGTGTGTGTGTGTGTTACCTGCAGTGTTCTGATCCCATATTTTTACTGAGCTGTCATACGACGATGACGCCACGAGAGCAGGATATCCGGGACGGGGAGGCACAAACATGCAGCATGCTGTGGTCTGCAGGTGTCCTCTGTATTCGGCCACCTTACAGCCGGGCTGTCTGAGGTCCCACAGCTACACACAAGCATAAACACACAAATGTATAAATTCATGTACATGCACAACTGTGTCCTGGCAGTATCTGTATACACACTCACCGTGGCCTCGCAACCCTGACCACCGAAACCATTGCTGGACGACAGCAGGTGGTAACAGTTGGAACTGATGTCACAGTGTGTCTGGATGTACTGCTTTGCCGGAAATGTGTTAGTGACCTGCCAGGTACGGCTATCCCACACCCTGAGACAGATAACACACAGATCAAAATCATTAATATAGCGCTTTTCATAATATGCATTGTTTCAAAGCAGCTTTACAGAAAATTATGATGACAATGTTTATTTTCATGCCTTATAGTCTTACATCACTCACGAATGGATGCTCTGCAGTGAATGGGTGCCGTCAGAATGAGAGTCCAAACAGCTGATAAAAACATCACAATAATCCACAAGTAATCCACACCACTCCAGTCCATCTTTGTGAAGTGAAAAGCTGCGTGTTTGTAAAAAACAAATCCATCATCAAGACGTTTTTAACTTTATATCATTGTTTCTCTATCCACAATATTGCTTTTTCAGAGGAAAAAGTTGTCTTGTTTGAATCAGGAGAGAAATATAGACAGATCAAACACCATTTACAAGCGAAAACAGTTGGACCCACTTTATATTAAGTGACCTAAACAACTATCTACTTACATTTAAATTAATCATTTGGTACAATGCACTTATTGTGTACATACATGTTTTTACATTGTACTTATATTTAAAAAAAATACCTGCATGTAATTACATCTGTAATTAATTTCTGTAATTACATTTATAATTACACTGTTGACCCATCCCTTACACCTTAACCCACCCTTAAACCCACCCATACCACCAAACCTGTCCCTAACCTTACCCGTATCCCACCTCAATAGCAGCAAATGTGTTTTGCAATACAATATGAACACAATAAGTACATTGTACTTATTTTTTATGTAAGTACATAGTAGTTAAGGCCACTTAATATAAAGTGGGACCAAACAGTTTAACATAGTTCTAGTCGGTGGATTTTGATGTGAGAAAACTTTTTAATTTGGGGAAGCATTATTAGTTTATGGTATATTGGCCAGAAGCAATTGTTTAAAGTTAAAAAGCCCTGATGGATTTGTTTATTACAAACACGCAGCTTTTCACTTCGCAAGACATTAACCGATGGACTGGAGTCGTTTGGATTACTTGTGGATTATTGTGATGTTTTTATCAGCTGTTTGGACTCTCATTCTGACGGCACCCATTCACTGCAGAGGATCCATTGGTGAGCAAATGATATAATGCTATATTTCTCCACATCTGCTCTGATGTAGATATAATTTACACAAGCACTCAGCTTATTTGTTTAGCAAATATTTCCAGAGAAATGCATCTCTATAAACAATAACCATTCTCCAACATAATGGATCATATGACATATCAGGAAACTTCTGACCTGATCGTTTTGTCTTCTGAGGTTTGGACAATAGATGTGCTTCCTGGTACCCAGCACACATGGGTCACCTGAAACGGAGGGCAACGGGACAAGACGCGATCATATTCAATGACCAAAAATAATTTTAACACATACACAAGAATATTAGAACATATAGTAAATTTCTGAATACAGCCTTTCTAACCAGGTTGCGTGAGATGGTGTGTTTGTGCAGACATTCTCCTGACTCAATGTCCCAGAGGCGCATGGAGTTATCACGAGAGCCCGTGCACAGCTTTGAGCCATCTACGAAATGAATAAAACCACATGAAAGGATTGTGTTTGAGATTTTGTGGTCATTGAGTGTTTTTCTTTGAGGGTTTGTTCACCTGGGCTTACCGCTACCCCGTTAACTACAAGCTCGTGGCCACAAAACTCCTGGACGGGTTCTGTATCTCGACCCAGATCCCACATCAGCACCGTCTTATCACGGGACGCACTGAAGATCAAGGAACTTCCTTTAAAACAGCATAACTAAAGGAAAACAGAGAGATTTGTATACACAAAGTACATAAAAAACACTTGCATGATCTCTATGTGTGCAAAATAATTAAGCATTCTTTGTTTTATTCATTTTTGCTCCACCAATGAAAACTGTTCCAAAATAAGTCAAAGCTTTGTTTGTCGAATCAAATTAGAGGCACTAACTGTAGTTTTAATACCTTTGTAATCTCTCTGCTATGGCCCTGGAAAGATTTACACCGTTTTCCAGCTCTCCATTCATAGACAACAACAGCCTGACCGAAAAAAACAAAACAATGACGATAGCATATTAAAATCCACATAATGTAAATCAATGAACAAGATATTATGACGATTATTACCTGTTGATTTAAAGCCTACAATGTGGAGTGTGTAATTTCTGTGCCACTAGTGGCACAAAACTGAACTGCAAAAATAGCTAGATTTTTACATGCTTGATGTTATAATTTTGTACGAGCATTGCTATGTGGTTTCTAAGATGTGGATTTTAGCATGTGCCGTTGCTATGATGTTCCGTGTGTTTGCTGCAGTCAAAACTAGAGTTTCAATGACAGTCACAATGTAAATATAAAAAAAATGTATTTGACCACAGAATGTTGTTTTTGACCAATCAGAATCAAATATTCTACAGATTTAAACATTTGTTTAAATAACAGCAATAAAGCACCACTAATAACACTTTACAAACATACAGAAGCCCACTGAGACCACAAAAACTAACATTTAATTTATGTATTGATAAGTAGTTTACAGTGAGATTACAGTTCTCTTTCACTAGTGTTTTTGAGTATTATTTTTATACAATTAAATTATTAATAAATATTTGAATTAGTCTTTATTTCTAGTTTTCATTTTAATTTTGGTTTAAGTTTTATTTATTTTATGTGCTTCGTCTTTTTTTACTTAGTTTTTTATACAGATTTTACTTTGCTTTCATTTATTTTTATTTCAGTTTTAATTTGAGTAATTTTAGTACGTCAACTTAAACGTATGAGTTGAGACAACAAATAACTTCTAATTTTCACTGACGTTTTTCAACTAATATTTATACTTTATTTTAATGAACGAAACGACTTTTAATAGTTTAATTTAACAATAATAACACTGATTACATGGTTTACTTCTAATGTTTCACTGCACGGTTTTATATCGTATTTGCAAATTTCTTTAAAGGTAAACAAATGATAAAATGCTTTGCAAAGCCACAATTCATTCCAATCAGTTTGAACCACTTTATGAGTTAGCCACAATAACCAAGGTGGGTGGAGCTTAGCGAAGGGCCAATCATTTGTGCAATTCCATCGGGTGCTGTGCAACACCACACTAACACTCATTAATCTCCAAACCTCCCTATTCAAAGCTTCTACAGCTCACCTGGTCATGCCCTCCTGACACGCACAGGTCAGAGGTCAAGCTGACGACACAGTTGATGGCATCTGTGTGAGTGGGTTCATACTGCTCTACCTGGTGCACAGGTGTGGGCTCCGCCCCCTCTTTGGCCCTGTCAACAATACAGCCTCAATAACCATAAATTCTTCACAACCAGCTGTCAAAACTCCACTGCTCATCATTTCTCACTTATAAAGGTCCGAGCGCCTCCGGAACTTGCTCTGTAGTTTTCCCATTCTCATATGGGTGTCCAATCACCCGATATCAGGACATCTTACTCATCTCTCCACAGCGCAAGCCATCTTCAGACTCTTTCGGGATCTGTGAGAATTACACACAGGGGTTTTTTTTTTTTTTTTTAAACATTGATGAAGATATCAAGTCCCTGGCAACCTCACAAGGGAGCTATTACCTGCCAAGAACAGATGCTGATGTTGTCTCTAGCATAAGCTGGTAATCAGTTATGTATTGGGTTCAGTTATGTATGTACACAGCTTGCTTCTGAGAGCTACAGGAAGACAGGGAGGGCGACCTGGATCCTATTAAGTGCATTAGTGCCTCATCGCATTAGGTAACAAATAGGATGCAATATGGCAATATTTGGCCAATAAATCCATCACCTGCAATAAACTTTCAGATATGAGACAGCTATACAGAGAGAGAGAGAGAGAGAGAGAGAGAGAGAGAGAGAGAGAGAATGTACCTGTGCAAAATGCATTGCTCTGTTGAAGGCAAACCAGCAAGAACTGTATGACAAACATACAACATCGCTTTTAACCCATGCATTTGCTATAACACTATAGGAGACAAACGCAGACGCGCATTGAATGTAAGTTAGTAGCCTAAAGTTCGCGAGACCAAAATAAAACTTACCGTCCCGAGCCTTAAGACGCTTAGCCGGATATCCCTGTCAGCGTGTCAGTGTTATTGTGAACGATTCGCACGGGTGTGTGTGATGTCCGAGCTGTCTGAAAGTACGTGAACGAAAGATTTATCTCGCATCGTGATCCGTTTCGGCTGTAAATCTTCAGCGGCTCCTCGCCTGCAGCTTCTCCGTGAGCGATGCTTTCGCTGTTACCAGGCGAACGGAGGTCACGTGAGCACAAAGGGGCGGGGCTTCAGGTCACATGGACTTTCTGAACAAAATATAATTACACCTTAAATACAAAAGTAAACGAAACAAAATGAAACTACACACACACACACACACACACACACACACACGCACAATATATTACACCTACGTAAATTGAATTAAGTTGTTTAAGTTTGCAGTTACAAAACAAAAATAATCGACTGGAAATAGGCCTGTCTCATACATCTAATATCCAAAATAAGTCTAACTTTTACACCAAATATCTCAACAACAGATATGTCTTCTCAGCTTTACTGTTGTTCTTTAGGCTACAGAAATTAAATAATAGTAATTCTTTAAGTCAGTGGAAAATAGTCTAATATTAATTCAAAATATGTTCATAAGTTCAAAATAAGAAATGAAGGTTTGAATGGGGGGGTGGGGGTTTTGACATAATATCTGTAAATGTCGTGTTGTAAAGTATTTGTCCTCCATATTTAGTAGCCTAAGAATAATTAACTGCAATCCCATAACTACAATGTGAAATATAGAGTGCATTGAAATGTTAGTTTTTAAATATAGGCCATTTATATCGATACAAGTATCAAGTGAAACTGCATTTTTCAGAAGTCAGAAGTCAGAAAGAGCTTTATTGGCATGTTTCCACACAAGGAATTTGTCTTGGCGATATAGCTTCCAGTGCAGAATAAAGTAGGCTACAGACATACTGTAAGTGGGGAGAGCACACATGCTCTGTACTGTCTCTGGTGGGACATGTAACATGTTAACAATGTTACATTTAATTAACAATTTAAATTTTAGTTACATTTAATGCTAGCAAAGTTAGCATTTAACAAGGGTTTGATTTTTTTCAGTCCTCAAAGCAAAGAAGGTGACTTAAAACTCTCTACATTAATATATTGCAATATATATTGATTAACCCCCATTTTAAGTTATATTATTATAGTTATAATAATAGTAATAATTAATAGTAGTAGTAGTAGTAGCCCTCCTATACCATCCGCCATGCTTTAGATTTAAAATGCACAATTTTTTTATAAAATGATGATACTGGTTTGGTCAGAGACCTTCAAACTGGTTGATTTTTCTAGTGAATCAGAAAGAGGCTTATGGGCTCTGCGGGTCACTTGACTGAAACAGCGACAATGTGCTCTTTGTGATCAAAGGCCGAACAACACAATGCTTGATATAGCTGAATAAATATTTCTACTTACAAAGAACAGCCAACTAGCATATTTCATTAATCATCATTAAAAAAATTACCATTAGACGACAATCCAACAATAATCGCAACATCTTACATTCATAACTCTGAATTTGTGCCTATAAGGTAATTGTAAAGTTGTGGTCAACTGGAGCTTATGATTTCACTAATGACTGCACACAGACCAACTGCCCTTCAAAGTTAATCTTTGCAGTGAGACCTAGAAAGCATGATGGAATAGCTCAGTTCTTTATCACTCTAAACTTTAAATGTAACTTAAAATGAATGGCCCAGAAGAGTCTACAGCTTTAAGAAAGGTAAGCTTTCATTTGACTTTTGAATTTACTGGGCACAACAAGGGCTCTCAGTGCATTATCCACAGGACTGAACATGGAAAAGCAATTGACATGCATGTGTTAAAAGACAAAAATATCCTAAAGACACCCTACAGAGCTTCTCCGTGGCTCTAAAGCAAATTTCATCCTGAATTAACTCTGAACCCATGCAGTTTTCACTGGTCATGCAATGAACAACAGCTCGATTGTATTTCTGCTAGTATATCTGTTATGCACCTTATCTAGAGCTCTAAGAGCAGTTCTGTCCTAGGGTGAGTTCGCATTTCAGAGACAGACTGAATGCGTGATTAAGAGGCGTTTGGAATATTAAGTAAAAATGTTAAAATATTTTCGACGAGTTTCAAAAATGGGCAAAGACAATGGAGAGCTTAAGGAATATCAACCTTTACTTAAAGACTTCAAAGAACCAGCTCAACAAATAAAGGTATGTTTCAAATAAAAATATATATTTTTTAAATACTATTTATTATTATCGTTGTTGTTGTAGTTTGGTTCAAACAAACAAAGGTATGGTTTAAATACAGAAATTATTTAATTACTTTTTTATTATTTTTAAAATATATTTAACATTTATTATTATTATTATTATTAAAAGTATTTATTACTATAATTCATCAGCTATAATGAACAGTGATGGACATGAAGTTGACTGTAATATTCATGCTATATTTTCTGCATCTTTCATATTACATACATTTTTTTAGCAGATTTATTGTATTGTATATTTGCATGTATATTTCTGTATATTGCATAATTTCACGACTCTTCATTGTTCAAGTACTTCTGCTGTTGCAATCCTGCAGTTTCTCTTTCTTTACTCTTAACCACTATACATATTAGTTATTAATGATGAGTTTAAATCAAAATCGCTTTTGAACATGATTTTGTACTCTGTTATCTACAGGTTCCCAGTAAGTCTCTTCTTCTGGCTATCTGTACGGCTGGCATTGGTGGGACGTTTCAGTATGGATACAATATATCTATCATAAACGCACCTACCAAGGTAATGTGTGCATTAATGTGATTATTCTTATCACTTTACTTAAGCCTGTTTGTGTTTACATCTAGAGCAGATTTTCTGCAGTATGCATTAGTCACATTACGTTCAGTACAGTATGCATGTGTGTAATGTATTTGTGTGAGTTATTATTGCAGTAGCTCATCAGACTAAAAGTCACATGAAATCTGTAGATAGTTAATATATCACATGGATATGGATTTTGGTCCCTGGCACAGTTTTGCTAGTTTGACCCAAAAATATAACAAAATTTACTGAATCCAAACCCCACATTTGGATAGACACCACAGGTGAATATAATAAAACCTCAATTCTGTCAGGACCACTATCGTCAAAGATGATTGACAATTAGCACACAGTTTGGATTGGTGGTATGGTTCTGTTCTGGGCAAGAACTCCCTGCGCCTCCATGCAGCCTAGCATGGATGAGAGCAGGGAGAGCAGCAATAACCCCCCAGGGTAAACAGAACAGAACCAACATAAATGTATTGCAGATATTGTTAAAGTTCAATAATGTTATGTACACATTTTAGAATTAGTCTGATTCAAAGGAGAATCAGAAGACTGAATCCTGACTGACAGAGGAGGAGTTGGGGATGGAGAAGGGTTATTAGCTATCGAGCAATGCGAAAACTGCTGATAATACTGAGGGACCTTATATATGAATGCTTAGATAGGTGTCGTATTCCCATAGGTTGATGGGGATCAGCTGACTAACGTGACCTGCCAGAACTAACGCTACGATGTTTGATGTATGAAAGTACTACTTAAGTGAAGACTTCTGACTGCATGAAAAAACAACAACACTTTTTTAAAAACAGCCTTTGTACTGTATTTGAAAACTACAGATGCAAATAGAGAAAATGTAATAGAATAAACTCTAAGGCCTGGTTTCACAGACAGGGCTTAGGTTAAGCCAGGATTAGGCCATTGATCAAATAGGACATTTAAGTATCCTTTAAAAAACGGGCCTTAGAAAAAAAAAACATTTCTGGTGTGCAAAACAATGGCACTGACATATTTTACATAAGATATGTCAGTGCAAGTTTCTTTCAGTTAAAGCAGCCAACACATGCATTTTAGTCTTGGACTAATCGTAAGCCTTGCCTGTGAAACTGGGGGTATATGTGTATTTTGGATGTTTTCTTTCCACTGGTCAACATTATGGAAGTAAAATAGGCAAAAATGAAACTGACCAGTGCATGAAAACACACTGGTTTTGCCTTAATTGTTAACCCAGGGTCATTGTTAACCATGTTTCACAATGTTCATACTTTACTTTAAATTAGTACTGCCCTACTAAGAATAGCTTTCTTCTGTGGAACATGAGAGAAGATATTTTGAAAAAATGTCTCCGTGTTCTATTTTTGTTCATGTTACTATTATCTAAGTTAAAGCTGACCTTTCCTATCATGCAAGAGACAGCATTTATTTTTTTTTCCACTTGTGTGTTTCCTATCAGGCTGTACAGAACTTCATTAATCAGACATGGACTGAGCGCTACAACACTGAAATCTCCACACAGGTGCTCACACTCCTCTGGTCCACCATAGTGTCCATATTCACTCTCGGTGGACTTGTGGGAGCGTCGGTGGGGGGAACTCTGGCCATTAGATTTGGAAGGTGAATTGAAGTCAAAAACTCTGTACAGAAAATATATGAAGGACATAACCAAATGTACAAGTCTGGGAGATCAAATGTGAAGTTTTTAGGGACATTACAGCCCTGTTGAGATGAATATCTAATCTTTTTTTTTATTATTATTTTCAGGAAAGGGACACTATTGTTCAACAACACCTTTGCTCTGTTGGCTGCTTTATTCATGGGCTTGAGTTATCCCTCCGGCACTTTTGAGCTTTTAATCATTGGACGCTTCTTGACGGGAGTAAATGCAGGTATCTCAAGTTTTCAAGCACATTGTCGATCAGTTTTATTTTATTATTCCATTAACATTATACACTACTGTTCACAAGTTTGGGCTCAGATTTTTTGGAAGAAATTAATTATTTTGATTCAGTAAGAATGCTTTAAAGTGATCAGACTTTTACATTGTTCTGTTTCAAGCAAATGCTGTTCTTTTGAGCTTTCTATTCACTCTTATTCAAAGAATCCTGAAAAAAAACGTATCACGGTTTCCACAAAAAAGCACAACTGTCTTCATTAATAATAAGGAATGAGCAGCTAATCAGCATATTAGAATGATTTCTGAAGGATCACGTGACACTGAAGACTGGAGTAATGATGCTGAAAATTCAGCTTTGCATCACAGGAATAAATTACATTTTGTAATATATTCAAATAGAAAACAGTTCTTTTGAACTGTAATAATATTTCACAATATTACTGTTTTTACTGTATTTTATTTATACTTATTTTATACTGTACTGTATATCAAATAAATGCAGCCTTGGTGAGTG